GGAGGGGAAAAGACAAAGTTTCTGGGACTGTTCCACTTCCGGGTTGATGCTTTATCAAACTTCTAACTTTTTACAACAGCATTAGTAACTTACTTTGGAATTATCATTGAAATGTCTGGAGTTTCAGCTTTTCTCAGTCAAGCTCTGCCATCCCATTCACTTTCTGGAAAGGAAGGCCCAGTGGTTCCCATCCAGGTGCTGAGCAGGCTCAGCAAGTCATTTCATTATGTGGCCTTTGTGGCGTGCCCTGGTGCGGCAGAGGAAGTGGAAGTGTGTTAGGAAAGACGCCATTATGTTGTGCTTTGTGGCTGTGGGCACCTGATCAGAGCAGTGTGGCTGCTAATAACGTTAATGTAATTTTAAGCTGCATCAACAGAAGCAGCATTCTATCCATTTCTGTGTTGTCTGTGTAGGTTTTTCCCAGGTGCTAGAACCCAGATCGTGCCAGGGAAGCGCCAGTGCACAGCTCATTTGCATAGGTAGCTTTGGATGTCGCAGAAAGAAGGCCTCCTGCATGGAGGAGCAGTGGAAGGAGGTGATTCATGCTTATACTACACAATTCTCTGGAGGGAGTATAGAGCACAGATCATTTGGTGGCCCTGAAGGGTTTTGAAAGACTCATCAAGAGAGGGAGGCATTTATGTCTCACAAAACAAAAAGGTGTAAAGTTATCAGGTTTCAGAAGAACTTAATACTTCCGCCCAACACATGTCAGGAAAAAAATCTGTTTCCTTCCTCAGGTGCCACTTTCTTCAGACGTCTCAGAAAAAATAACTTCCAATATCCCCACTGCACTGAGATGCATACGAAATATATGCGAGAGAGAGATTAGAAGCATTTTTTCAAGATACCTAAAAAAGACAGGTGGCCCCAAGGAACTAGGGAGAAATCCCCACCTTTGAAGTATTGTTTTTAATTATCCTTAATAAGGATATGTACCTATCAGGGACCTTGTCACCTGTAAACGAGGTATTCTGAGGTCTGAATGTCTTTAATGCTGTTGGGTTATTGTGGGAAAATGCTAAATGGTTTAGTAAAGGTGTGCATCTGATTTGGAAACGCATTTCAAGTTTTTTTTTTTTTTTTGCCCTCTGGGTGTGGGGATAGAACACCACCAGCCACGGAGGGTTGAAGATTCAGGGAAAGAGAAGTTTGGTCCTCCAGAAGCTCTGGGGCTACAGCTCACATGGTTCTTGACAATTGGTTATGAGTTTGGCTGCATCTGGAGGTCCACCAATTCAGTAGTGTGTGCAGTTTTCAAATACGTTCTTCTGGGAAGACACATGCTGGGAAAAAAGGGTGGCATGTCGATGCTGGTACTTGCCCTGAAGCCGGTTGGCAAAAACAGCAGGGTTTTTTCCTGCTGCCGCCCAGCAGTTCCGTCCCCATACCCATAATGGGGGATAACTTATGTAAAAGGAACATTTTATTTTTTAAAGGGGAATTGACCATTAAAATGGGCGTGACCCTCCCATCTGCTCCCAATAATTCCTTCCTCTTTGCCCTTTCTTCTACCCTTGGAGCCTACCTTTCCGGACATGAATTCATGCAACATTGTCATAATTACACTGCTGCTCTTAATGAGGAATTCAGTGCAGCCTTCCCCAACTTGGTAAATTGCACCACAACTCCTATCACTCCCAGCCAACATAGTCAGTTAGGTAATGGGAGTTGTAACTGAACACATCTGGCTAGAGAAGGGAGATGTGTAGATGAGATTTTTTGGGGAGGAGCTGCACCATGAAACATGTGGCCCCTGTGTGGCACTGGATCAGTTTGTAACATCAGCTGGGTTTACATGACACAACAAGCCACGGTGGAGGTTTGCCATGGTTTGTCTGCTGTATCATCTGTATTGGCATTTCAGCATGGTATATCGAAATACACACATGTGGTATATATTTGGTCTTTTAAACACTATGATAAGAAACAACCATGAGTTCCATGGTTTCTATTTATCACAATGGTATCTCATGACATCCAAGGTCAGGCACATGGTTTCCATGGTCTGGGAATACAACTACCATGGAGTCCTCTGGAAAAGGTGGCAACTGCAGGAGCCACTCCAGCCATCTAGTCTCCGCTATCCCACTCCGCCTGGTACCGGACACATCACTGCCCCCTTGCTTCTACAGGCTGCTCTGTGTCCCCCCCCCCCCCCACAAGCTTCTCTGCTTTCCTCCAGATGCGCACCAGTCTTTGTTTTCAAGCAGCAGGGAAGCCTGCCCCACGGCCTGAAACAATGGCCGTGGGGCTGGCCATGCTATGCACCCATAGCCGCCTGCTGCCTTTCTCACAGGTGCTACTTGCAGAGTTTCCCTGCTTTTTTCATTTTTAGGAAAGCACATTTCGCCCCTGTCTTGAAACTTGCTTCTTATTTATTTACAATAAAACTTATTTAAAAGTTTTATTTAAAACTTTTGTAGACCATCCCTTTACCATTATGGTTTAACAACACAAAATGTAAAAAAATAAAAAAATACATTTAAAACACAGCATCCTAAATTTAGCTAATAATAAAACCCCAATTAAAACTGTTAGGTCTTAAAACATTGGGAAAATAAAAAGGGTTTGGCCTGGCACCAAAAAGAATAAAATGATGGCACCAGGTGAGCCTCTCTGGGGAGCTAATTCCACAATTGGGGTGCCACCACAGAGAAGGCCCTTCTCTGGGTAGTCACCCTCCTAATCTCAAAATAGGAGGCATGTGGACAACACAGAGGACATGAAAAGGGGGATTGTTCCCTGGAAAAATCCCCCTTTCAGTCTGCCTGCTTTACTCTGCTTCACTTGGATGTTGCCTACAACACGCTACTGCCAACATCCCGACCATCACCTTTCCCACCCCCAGAATATCTGGTGCACGAGATTCCAAAAAGCCGGCCCATCAGCATTTCCAGGGAACTGCAGACGGGCTGCCTCTGGAAAGCGCTTCCCAGCAGTGCCCTCTCTGCCCCATCCCTGACACGCATGTCTACTCCTGCAGGCCAAATGGACACTGGGCCGGAAGCTGGCATCAACTCCCAGCCCCTTCTCCAAAAGCATGGCAGCCTCCCAGGCTCCTCCTCAGCAAGCCTCCCTGGAGGAAGGCCCACTAGCCTCCGAGGGCCGGGAGCACAGTCCCGCTAGAGGGCGTCCCTGCTGCAGGACTGGAGAAGAGCTGGGCACATCCTTCAGCCCAGGTGGCAGCCCAGAGGGACAGGAATGCTTGAGGTCGAGCCACTCAACCTCTTCTTGTGGTTTTCAGAGCAACCTGGCTCCTCACACGTCCCAGCCCAGTGCAAGGATAAGCTTCATGCCCTCCAGGGCTATGCTTCTGCCACTGGTTTCCAGGGCAGGAGCACAAGAAGGTGATTCCTAGCCTTGACCCCACGGGGCGATTCTCCAAGGATGGGAGCTGGGAAGTTGAAAAAGCCCCCGTCCCGCTTTTTGACAACCTGGTGGTGGGGAAGCTCGCTAGAACTACAGCTGAACAGAAGGGGATTTTCATGGTGCACGGTGTGCCACCGTTCGGCGTAGCAATGGTTGTGTGGCGAAATGGTTCAGCAAACTGATTTCAGGCCAAAAGGACAACTGGCAGATCTGTAACTAATTGTCAAGAAATACCAGGAGGAAAAGAGAAGGGAGACGGGAGTGGTGTGCCTGAGAGGCACCGAGGGCCTGCTGAAGCTCTTCTGCAGGGGCAATCAAGTCCTCACTCATGCGCTGGGTGGCAGGGCCAAGACAGGGCCACATCGCAGTTTACTTCCTGCAGGGGAGACTGTCCAAGAGTACAAAATAAAAGAAGACCTCAGTGGATGGATAGCTGAAGTTTTAAATGCTAATAACTCAGCCTCGCCCAACCTGGCAACCTCCATATTTGTTGGACTGCAACACTCATCGGCCCCTACCAGCACGACTACCAGAGACACACCTAGAAGGGCCATGCTGGCTGGGGCTGATGGAAGTTGCAGTCCCCTTGTTGGGCAAGGTTGCAATATCTCCATTCCGACATGTTTTAAGAATAACTAAGGAATGGGACAGAAGATGGGGTTGAGGCTCTGTGTGGGGTCACCAAGAGAAGGATTTGCTTCTGTTCCGATGGCAGGGATGCTACTTGTCTGTACAAAGGACCCACACAGAATGACTGCAACTCACAGTTCCACAAGGGGGTTTTAAGATGAGGAAGGGCCCTACTTGATTCAAGTCCTATTTAGTCCAGCATCTTGTTTCTCATGGTGGATAACCAGATGCCCCCATGGGAAGCCCACAAGTGGACAGGAGAACCATGGCCCCTGTTCCACACGTCCCCGAGCAACTGATGCTGAGAGGTGTGCAGCTAGCTACTTATCCTAGAAGAAGCACACTTGTAGCCACTGATATTCTCTTCAAAAAATTGTCAATCAGAAGAGGAGCACAAACAAACAATTAAAGATACAACTCCCAGCATGACCTTACCAGCATGCCTATTTTAGCAGAAAAAGCCTGCATGGCTGGGCATGCTGTGAGTTGTAGTTTTTTCTTTTCTAAACACGCCTAGGAGTTGTGCACGGCCATGATATGCAAGCCCAACATTTATGCGGACTTTTTAAAGACTCCCTGGGTGGATGGCTGAACCCTACCAGCAACACAAACGATCACTTGGGACATCACGGTTGGGCCGAAATACAGCTTAACAACACAGCCGTATTTGGAACTAGGGCAGCTTCATTTTGACCGCAAAGATTTATCCGCAGCGCAGGCTGGTGAAGACGGTCACGAACACATTCGGAGCTGGGCGAAGAAGTTCAAGCGACGGAGCCCACATCGATCCAAGCACTTCCGCTAAAAGCGCTCCCCTCCTCCCTCGCCTGCCCCCCTCGGGCCAGCGTGGGGGGGGAATGGAAAAGAGTTTACTGCCTCGCCTCACTTCCTGATTGGGCAAGGCAGCTTTTGGAATGTTGCGAAGGGCTGGCCGTGCGTCCCCGGCCAATCACAGGCAAGAGGTTTCCGAATTTTCAACGCGGATCACGCCCCGATTTCCTTTTGATTTGTTCTCGGGCAGCGGCAGCCACACAGGACGGACGTCGAAGCGACTTTATTTCTCTTCTACTCCGGCAACTGCAAGGTACTTGCTTACTTTATTAAAGCGGGAGGAGGGTTCTGCAGGCGCGTGCGCAGTTCTTAAGTAGCTCCCCCCCACGTACAAAAAAGCCAGTACGCAATGAGTTAAACTTCTCTATGTTGGATTATATAGCCGCGCAGCATGTGGGTGGGGGAGGCAAAAAATGGGAGGGGGGCGGGTCTCGAAGGGCCTAGTACAACCTTGCCCACATTTAGTGCAGTGGACTAAAACTTGCATCACTCTATGGCTAGGTGTGATGGGAGTTGTAGTCCAGCGCACCTGGAGGGCACCCAGGATGGGGAAAACGGGGGTCAATTTTTAATCTTCCTTTTTCCTGACTCTCCCCCGCCCTCTTTCTCCTTGGACTGAGTTTATAGGAGGGAAAAAACGGGGAGTACCTAAATGCGTTTTTGTGTTTGCATGTTTCCAGATGAGGCCTTTTATTGTGCAATCGCTCCGCCTTGTTCATGGAATTTTACGGGGGCTTTCAAACAACGGGGACGACGCCGTCCATTTGTAACACTCCCGTGTTTTCCCGTCGCTTCTTCCATCTTCCGTGTTTTTCCTACAGAAAACCACCCTTTCCTCCTCCACGGAGCAGCTGCACAGCGCCTCTCGACTGGTAGCGCTCGGAGGCGTCCGTCTGGAAGCGGCCTTTGTCTCCGGGAGCGAGCGGCGGACGTGCGCTGCGCTCTACAGCAGAGGCGGGGCGACGGGAGGCAACGGGTCGCGCTGGTGAATCCCCGCTGGCAGCCTCCTAGCGCTACCAATCAAATGGCGTTGTGCGGCTATTCCGTCCTTCCCGCTGAAACAGATTTTCTGCAGTGAAGAAAGGGGGGAAATGACGGAAGGGATGGTGGAAAAAACACGGGAGGTTTCCAAACAGAAGATGGCGCGGTGGAACATTCCTTGAAGGAGGCCTGGCGGTTGCACAATAAAAGCCTTGTCTGGAAGCACTGCAGGTTTTTTTGTTCTTAAAGATTCCTCTCCAGCTTTGTGTGCAGCAGAAGAGAAAGGTGAGCCGACCCATCTGCTGCCATGCAGCTTGAGATCAGCTAAGGCTGCAGTCCTGCCCCCCTGGAGGAGGCCTCTGTGAACTCACCAAGGGCTTGTTTCTGAGTAAACTGTTGGATGCTGCCTGGAAGCATCACACCATTGCTTGCCTGGTTCTGATAAAGGTGGCACTTGAAATGGGGTGGTGCTGGCTGTTCCTAGGCCAGCCTCTGGGACCTTTTGCCTTGGAGAACGGGCTTCCTGGGGGCCAACCCAGCCAACTGCACAGAATGGTAGCGGGAGCCTCAGTTTGGGTATTTTAAAGCCAAATCCCGTGTGACAACCCTGGCAAGATAGAATGGGGGGGGGGGAGGTTGAGTTCCCTCTTGTGAGCAATGTTTAATATTGCTGTAGGCAGGCAGGTGAGTTGGTGGTGAACAGAATAAAAGGGACCAGGAGAACCAAAGAAAATTAAACTAATTGAGAGCCTGTACTGGTTAGAGTGTTGGATTAGGAGTCTGGGAGTTCCAGGTTCTAGTCCCCGCTCAGCCATGGAGCTCAATGGGTGTCTTTGAGCCAGTCACAGACACTTAGCCTAACCTACCTTACAGGGTTGTTGTAGTAAGGATAGAATTGAGAAGAGGAAGAGATAAGCTGCACTGAATTCCACTAAAAGGGGGGAATGGGTGGGATATACATATGTTAAAATAAATAAATGTATACATAATGGTTCTTACAAGTATCTCCATCATTTGAGAAATTACATATAAACGGCACACAATGGGCAGGTCTGAACATTGCTCCAACCCACCCTGGTAAAAAGCTTTGGTGGGTAGATTGTTCACTGAACAATCCATGGTATGCCCAGCCAATGATCAGGTTCACCATGGTTTGCTTTCCCATTTGGTCCTCCAGACTGTATCCCACGGTCTGTGTCTGAAACTGCCTCATGTCCTCTCCCTGTTGTGATCATGAGTTGTTTTGGGATTGCCACATTTTCCCCCTTTAATTTTTTTTTCTGGAAATCTCTGAAATGACAGCCCCTAAAAAAGGCACAAACGATGCATTGGCAGGGCTATTTCTGATTCCCCAGACTTATAGTTTATGTCCAAAATATTCATAAATTTCTTTGACTGAAAGAGTTTGACTTGTGCGACAGTGGTGTAGCAGAACTGTATAGGTCCAAAAATGGGAAGTCTCACCTCAGCAATGTCCTAAGTGTGTACCTGCTGTTGAAGTGCAGCATGTACTAACCCTGGATATTGGTCCAGGGATACTCCAAAGAGGGTTATTTGGACTTTTTATCAGTGACCTGGAAGAGGGGATAACCAGTCTGCTGCCAGAATTTGCAGATGATACCAAAGTGGGGGCAGTGGCCACAACTGAGGAGCAGTGATCCAGATTCCGAAGGATCTGGACAGGCTGTGGAAGTGGGCGGGGGGCAACAGGATGGCATTCAGTGTGGAATAGGTGTCATAGGGACAGGATGGGGGACAAGTGGCTGGAAAGCAGCACTTGCGAATGGGACCTGAGAACTTGTCAACAGTGGGCTGCACATGAGCCGGCAGTGTGACGCAGCGGTTAAGAAGGCAAACGCCTCCCTCGGATGTGTAGGCAGAAGCGTGGCTTCTAGATCTGGGGGGTGTTGATACCGCTCTGCACGACTCTGGTGCACCCACAGCTGGAGGACCGCCTCCAGTTCTGGCTCCACAGGAGAGACATGGCTAGGTTAGAATTGGCTTGGTGCAGGGTCACAAGAATGGTAGCCAGCTTGGGAGGGATGACATATGAAGAGAGATTGAGGGAATTGGGTGTTTTCAGCCTGGAGAAAAGGAGACTCCAAGGGGATCTTTAGAGATTTATAGGTATGTGAGGACATGTCTCGTGGACAGCTGTGACCATTTCTTCTCTGCAGTGGAGGGCAGGATGTGTTCCAGTGGGGCAAAGCTCAAGGAACCAGGCTTGAGGTTGGATGTCTTCCTGACAGTTAGGACCCCTTGGATATGGAATGGGCTTCCAAGGGAGGTGGTGGAGGCACCATCAGTGAGGGTGTTCAAGGAAAGATTGGGCAACCACATGTTGGGGATTACATGAGCAGAGCCAGCTGGAGTTGGGGGTCAGACTAGATGGCCCAGGGGATCCCTTCTGACTTGCTTTCTTTCTATGTTTCTGTGACTTGACTTTCCCTTTACCACATTCAAAAGGTGAGCTGCCAAGGAAATGCAAAACCCATATGTGATCTTAATTTAAGAAAGGGGCTGCATACCCTTCCCGCTTTGCAATGCAATCCTCGGGGTTTTGAATGTCTTCAGTAAGTTCCAGAGCACTCTACCTTTTTACCCATTCCCAAGATTCTAGCTGGAAAGTGCAGCCTACACCCCTTTGGGCTGACACTTGCTTTTGCTAGCTGTCAGAACTTAGGAGCTTGGGAAAGACTAGCTGGATAATTTGACAATTTGAACATAGGAGTCGACATATACAATCTGTCCCTGTTTTCCTTTGCACACATTAGGGGAAGGGGTCCTCAGACTTTCCCACCAGGGGCCAGTTGAGAGCTGCTGGTGCTGGGCGTGGGCCGGAAAGGTGGTGCCGGTGGTGTGCCGGGGCGAGGCAAGGGGAGGCAAGGCACAAGCAGGCGCGTGCGGGGTGAGGTGGGTGGCGGCATGCGTGCGGGCGGGCATGTGGGTGTGCATGTGCGGCGGGTCCAAATGGGCATGGCGGGCCGGATCCGGCCCCCGGGCCGTAGTTTGAGGACCCATGCATTAGGGGCTCTGTTCTTTATTTAGTGGGGTAGGACACCAGTATGCTATTTGGGCACTTTGAAGGGCCTTCCATGAGATTGTACAGAACGGCAAGGAGATTTTTTTGCCCCTTGCACTTTATACACCATTTCAGTGAGAGTGGTTGCCCTAGTGATAACAACCCATCATGGGTAAAATAACCCCTAGAACAGGCCATTGTTTCTCAGGATGATTTGGTTTGCGGGGAGAGACCAAGCCACCCTGTCGATATCAGCCTTGGTTCAGAAGACATGTAGCAACCCACTGCAGCTAGTTACCCAGGACAATTTGTCATATCGTGTGAATCAAGTCAGTAACTAGGAAATAGGTGCCTGCTCTTCTGGATAGTTGGGAACTATTTTGACCATTTTGCCCTTCTCCGTTGTTCTTGGCTGTGGGGAGGGGTGCAAAAGAAAATGGTCATGGGTGGGCAACCCAGTTCCTTCCACCTGCTGCTGCTGACCTTCTGTAAGCTCGCCAGGTTCTGGAGCTCTTGTTGCCTTCCTCAACTTGACGTTTTGGACTGAGCTCCCATAAATGCCAGCCAGCCTAGTCCGTGGTCAAGAATGCTGTGTGTTTTGGCTCGTAACATCTCCAGAGTACCAGGTTGTCAGCAGTGAGTTAGATCAGCCAACAGACTGCCTTCATGTCGGACAGCTTCCTGTGCTCTTGCGAGTGGATGGCCCAGCATCGCTGGTCTGGTTCACAGGTAACATAAACTGGGCACATTTGTTTATGAGCTGCATGCAAGTACTTGCTGCCCAGGGTCTTTCTCTGCGGGTGGAAGCAGCCAAAGAAGCATTGCTGCGCATTGCTATGATGCATAAAAAAGAGACTGCCTTGTGTTTTTATTCAATTTGCTCCATTTCACAGATCATCGGGATCTTTTAAATTTTGCCATCTGCTCCTCAAGATTTGGGGGTGGGGGTTGGAATTTTTTCCCATTTGTGCTAATGCATATTAGAGCAACTGCGAATTCGGACAAACCCACTACCACCATCCCAGAAAGTAAAAAACAAGAACACCTTTTGGAGGAATCTGTGTGACTCAGGAAAGGCTGGACTGCTACAGAATCTGAAGTCATGTGGATCCATTGCTGAGCTCTCTGGCATCCCCACACAGTCATAAGCCAAGAAGAGAGCAGGGCTTATGACTCTGGCTGCTGGTTCAAGTGGAAAACCAGCGGCCCTCCAGATGTTGAACTGCTGTTCACGTCGTTCCTCATTGCTGACGCAGGTTGATGGGAACGACAGGCTGGGGATCCCCGGCCCTGTGGGAGAGCTCATGGTTTGCTTAGGCACTCCTGCCTGCTGCCATATTCGCAAAATGCCAGAATTCTTTAGAAAGCACCAGGTTGGCAAGGGCTTCTGTAGTGTCATCAGGGTGATGTGTGAACCAGGCTGGTGTGTAAGATGAGGGAGGATATAACTGTGGGCCAGGGTTGTGGTAGACCGCAACAAATATTTTTGTTTTGGGTCTTTTGAATGCTCTCAAACTTTTGAATGCTAGTCAAACTAGAGGGGGAGGAATGCAAAGTCACAGATGCCAGTGAAAAAAAAATTATTGTAGTCCTACACATTTTACATGTTTTTCTGCCCTTGAAGGAAGATATTTCCAAAATGCATATGGCAGCTATACAACTTTTATCACTGGCACCTGGGATGTTTTAGCCCCCCCTCCCCTTTGCTTCCTGTCTGTTGGATACCACAACATCTTTTAAAAATTGTCTAATTCTGTCCCTTGCAATGGAGCTAATGCATCTTTTAATCACATGTTTTAATAATGCCCAGTAGTTAATTCTTTTTGGGAGTAGTGTTTAATAATCACTGATATACATGCTCTTCCAAATTATTTACCTGCTTCGTGGAAGTTAAGAAATAGAAGGGAAAATGGATGATCTGCACCCTTTCGACAGCTAAAAGACTATCTTACACCATTAAACATTAAAGGATAAATATTTGCCTCCAGCAGAGCAATGGAATGAAGATCTTACAGTGCTTTCAGTATCTGAGGAGGTGGAGTATAGATTTCACCTCCCAGTGGAAACTTATTTAATATTGGACCTGCTTTTGTTGAAGTCTGTATATAATCGCTATAATGTTGTTTGCATTTCATACAAATTCTTGTATGTATATTTAAAAAGGAAACTATTTCAAATGTTGGGAGCCATATTTGGACTCCCCCCCCTTCTAGAGTTAATGTTACCCTATTCAGCATCAAGTCCTTTGAAGGAATGGATCAGAACACTCAATTTTACTTAGTCTGGCATGAAAAAATATAATTTATTTTCAAAATGTACAAACTGCTTTCATTCTGAACTAGATTTACACCATTAGCAATTCCATTAACTTAGTAGCAATAGATTTATTACTGTAACCACAGGTCATAACAAACTTCAAGATCCAAGCATGCACACAATGGAGAGTCAAGCTGTAATTACTGACTAGCTGAAACAATTACAACCTGTATAGACAAATGAAATAGAAAAAATCTGATTGGCCAAAGGTGTGATTAGGGTACTAAATCCAATATGTATCTAATGTTAATAGATACCATGGTAAAAGTGGCCACGAGGACTAATATGGAGGAATACATTGCCCAGTAGAAAATCAATGCATCCTTCTTCTGAACCCAAGAAATTATCAATAACGTGAATGTATTCCCTCACTTGCCAGTCAACATTAAAGGTTGTTCTTTTGATCTGGATTGGCAAAAGTGATTATTATTGTTGTTTCTAGTAAATGTCCTTTTTGGCCTGCCTGTTTCTATCTGGGGAGGAACCCGAGGTGGCTTGTGAATCCTTCCTCCAGTCCATTTTATCCTCACAAAAACAACCCTGTGAGGTAGGCTGAGATTGAATGACTGGCTCATGTCATCTCGTGAACTTCATGATTGAATGGGTCTAGAACTAGAACTCAGATCTTCTGGGTCTTCAGTAGTATGGAAATGTAATAAATAAAAGCATTGCAAAGAAAAAGGATCTTAATCTGGCTCAGAGTCCTATACCTGCTACTTGCTTCATCTAGGCTGAAATCCTAAATGAACTTCCCTGGGATTTAACTGCATTAGATCCAAAGAGACTTAAGTCCTGAATAAACATGCACGGAATTGCACTACCAACACCCAACAAAACCCATCCATGTTAACTTTGTGAGAGTAGTCTCCTGATTTGTTTGGCCATTATTTTGATATGCTTTCATTTCCAGCTTGACATATGCCCTACTTCTCCTTGAGGTACTTCCTGGAAAGGAATCACGTGGCCACCATTTAAAACTGGAAATACAGTTAAAGCCGTGGCGATCATGCTTCAGGGAGAGGCAGTCATGGCGACTGGGGCCCCTGTCAAGGAGCTCTGCGAAGAAGCAACTTGTCCCATCTGCTTGGAATACTTTAAAGACTTGGTGATGATGGATGACTGTGGGCACAGCTTCTGCAAAGCCTGCCTGACACGGTACTGGGGGGAGTCTGCAGATGCTTCCTGCCCTCTGTGTACTGAAGCTGTTCAGCAACTGGAGGAAGGAGAGAAAGAAGGGGGCATCCGGGAGAGGCACCAAGAGTCCCTGAAACTCTTGTGCAAGGAAGAGGACGCTCTCATCGGCTTGCTGCGGGACCGTTCCAGGGAATCGTGGGAACATAGTGAGTTTCCTGCTGACGAGGCATCCCAGGAGTATAAGGTAGGAACTCCCTGCGGAGTCTGTGATTTGGTTCACACAGCAAGCCAAAGTATGGGTCAAGTATGAGTTGCTGTGTTGTATAGACCTAGCTACACTAACAAACCATTTTTTTTTAACATAGTTCACAACCCAAGGAAAAATGGGTGGTTTTGATGGGTTGTTCCTGGTTAATCAATCATGGTTTCTTAACATAGCTGGGTTCACACAACACAGCAAGCCTTGATCCAACAAGAGCTATGCAAAACCCAAACTCGGTCCCTACTTTGTCATGTGAACTCAGCCCGTGCCTGCAAGAATCCCTCCCACAACATTCCATCCCAAGCATCTTTTCTATCTTGTCACACCCTGCAGTAGCCTAGAAGCAGAACTCAGAGTTAGGCTGCACAGCTGATGACGCAGGGTCAGTTCTCAAGGCGGAGGTTTCTAGGAGCAAGTATTGGCACCCCACTATCAGGCTGGACGCCATGGGCAGTAGCCAACGCAAGGCTACTACTAACGGCATAATTATGTTGCTCTGATTTCCCTGCCATCTTCCCAAGTTGGCTGCCCTGACTGATATCTTGATTCTTTATTTTCTGTGTTTTCATAGGTGACTGATAGCAGCAATGCAGGCACCAGCAATGGCCGTAAAGGCCGTGGTGTCTCATGGCGGCACAAGGAGACCTTGGATCTCCTGGACATCTGGGGAGAGCAGAAGATCCAGGATCAGCTCCGCAGCAGCCACCGAAACATAGACTTCTTCGAATACATCGCCCAGGAGATGGCAGCCCGAGGTCACCGCCGCACTGCAGTCGAGTGTCGCTCCAAGACAAAAGTCATGAGACTGGAGTATAAGCGTGTGATTGGTCATAATTCCAGGCCTGGGAGCAATAAAGTGACTTGTCCATTTTACAAGCAGCTACACCGTATCCTTCGTGGGGACGCGAGTGTGAAGCCCAAGCGGGTTTCCCGCAGCCTGAATTTCAAGCGTGGGGCTAGGCAGGGAGCTGCCCCAGAGCCCCCGAGCACAGAGGAGCATCTTTCCCATGCAGATCTTCCCATGATCAACATTGGAGAGTATCTCAAGGAAGAGAGTCCTGGTAAGTCCCTGGAGTGTCACATGGACAATGTCCCCAGCAGATTCCGCTTTTTAATTGTACAGGCTATTAAAAGTCTGTGCTGCTCTAGCATTCTCGTATTACACTGGGAGAAAGTTTGTTTGTTTATTTAACAACAATTAAGTCTGGTTTATATTAAAATAAGTGCCTAAGCAACGTGTGAGAATACAGCGTAATATCACAAATGGCATTAATCATTACTGTATACAAAAGGCACTATTACCTTCCTGGGAATTCTTGTTGAAAAAGGATCTTTTCAGTGTGCACGAAATGTTAGAACCTAAATTGTAGAAGTAGGGACTTTTCACTTAAGCCAAACTGAATTCATGTGATTTGCCTGGGAGGATGGTTTGAGTGTTGGTCTACTCAGTCACAGTCCTGTTAAGAGAATTGTCATGCTAGTGCTATGGGGTCATTTTCCTGTTTTGCCCCTATTAATCTCATTCCGGTTCTGTGGTTTCGTTTCTAGCAGGGGGCTTTGGGCATGAAAGTGAATTTGGGGGGCTCCAACATAGCATTTCAGCTTCCACCAGGGATGATCATCTCTGGGAAAGGAGGTGACCTTGCTGGTTGGCATAAAAGCGGGGGCAGGTTTGCATGCCGTGTAACCGTCGCTGCAGGCTCGTGCCTTCTTTCTATGGGCTTCTTTTTGCTCTTCAGACAACACAGGTGATGGAATGGTTTCTAGTAATGGAGCCGAGGAGGAGATGGCCGAAACAGAAGGTATCAACATCATACAAGTTGAGGAGGAAGGCAGCAATGAAGGCAGTGGTAAGAGTTGGCTCACAGGCCCTCTCACTAAAATGGGAGTGGTAGTCCTGGTTTGCAGGCTGGGTTCTGGAGCAATCACGACCACAATCCTATTAACTCACTATTGGGATTCTCTGAGATGCTCAGTGACATGGTGTGGAAGCTTTTTTCCAGTGCTTCATTTTTTCACAGAAAAAATTCTGTTGCAGAAGTTTATTAGCAATTATGGATGGACGTCAATTGCAAATGCAGGATTAGGCAAACTTGGAAGTTTTAGATTTGGTATTAAAGTAGTTCTGGTAATTATTCCAAGCAAATATGTTAGAGAAGACATATATTATAATTTTTATTACACTGCATTTATACCCTGCCTTTTTCTGCTTGTGAGGAGCCCACAGTGGCTTATATAGCTGTTTTATCCTCACAGCAATGCCCCCGTGAGGTAGGGTGCTGACAGTGAGAGGTTGGCCCAAAGTCACCCGGTGAGCTTCGTGGCTGAATGGGGACTAGAACCTGGCTCTCCCAGGTCCCCAGTCCAGGGCTCTGACCACTAGTCGTAAATGTCACTGAAATACATCTCTGTCTCAGTATGGAGAACTAATAAGTAGTGACGGGGAAACAGAAGTTTCCCTAGTAACCTTAACTGAAGAAAGTTGGTCTCCCTTGAAACAAATGAGTGGCTGGCAGCATTTTCTGCATAGGTCTTTGTGTTACTAAGTTTACTAGCTTGTCAGTAGGGTTTTCATAAATCAGAGACTTCTGGATGGCACATTACAACAGCCACAACAGTGGTTTTCACAACATGTTGGTTTTTTAAAAATTAAACTATTTATCTGTTTATTATTTGTATTACAGTAAGTCTCCGGGTTACGAACGTCCGAGTTACGAACATCCATACTTACAAACTGTCATAAAGCCTATTAATTTAAAAGTCAAGTTAAAAACAAATGGTTTGTAGTAACAAACACGGGAACTAGTTTGTTATGCTCACAAAAATGTTCCTTGGTGTTGGTTGTTCGTTGGCTCGAGCGTACGCAAACCAATGTGTTTCGGATCACGTGCAGTTAGCGTTGTCTTCCTTAACTTCGTATTTGGTTTTACAAATTTTCTTTAGTATTTGCCCTTGTAACCATGCCTCGAAAGCGTAAATCCAAGGCAATTGCAGGTGATGCATCGAAGAAAAGGAAAACAATCACGATTAAAACTAAAGTGGAAATAATAAAGCGATCGGAGAGAGGTGAAACGCCATCGGTCATTGGGAAAGCATTAGGCTTTAGTCGATCAACAGTCGGAACAATTTTAAAGGATAAAGTGAGAATAATGGAGCATGTGAAAGGCTCTATTCCGATGGGAGCTACAATTATTACTAAGCAACGCAGTGGTTTAATTATTGAAATGGAAAGGCTATTGCTGATTTGGTTAGAGGATCAAAATCAGCGCAACATTCCGGTTAGCCTAGCATTAGTGCAAGAAAAGGCTCGAAGCCTTTTCAATGATTTAAAAACTGCACGTGTAGCAAGTGAAGGTGATTGTGATGAAGAATTTGCTGCGAGTAGGGGTTGGTTTAATCGTTTCAAAGTGAGGGCAAATTTACATAACTTTAAAGTGCAAGGTGAAGCTGTAAGCGCCGATGTAAGTGCAGCAACTGAATATCCCAAAATGTTAAAGAAAATTATTGAGGAGGGAGGTTATGTGCCAGAGCAAATATTTAACGTAGATGAGACTGGTCTATTTTGGAAAAAAATGCCTGAAAGGACCTACATCGCAAAAGAGGAAAAAAATGCTCCAGGGCATGAGGCAGCGAAGGATAGGCTGACGTTATTGCTTGGGGGTAATGCATCGGGGGATTTTAAGCTCAAGCCTTTGCTTGTGTATCGCTGCCCAAATCCGACGGCACTTCGTCGTATTATTAAGGCGTCTCTTCCCGTAATTTGGAAGTCAAATTTAAGGGCTTGGGTGACAGTTGCCATCTTTGAAGATTGGTTCTTGAACCATTTTGTCCCTGCTGTGGAACGTTACTGCTTGGACAAGAAAATTCAGTTTAAGATCCTCCTTGTGCTTGACAATGCACCCGGACATCCGAGCTCTTTAGATGACCTTCACCCCAACGTAAAGGTCGTGTTCTTACCCCCCAACACCACATCGCTACTTCAGCCAATGGACCAAGGAGTCATAGCCACCTTTAAAGCCTATTATTTACGGCGTATCTTCTCACAAGCAGTCAGGGCTGTGGAAAACAGTGTGATGAGCTTAAGGGAGTTCTGGAAAAATTATAGCATCTATGATGCCATCAAAAATATTGCTGATTCTTGGGATGAAGTGAAGCAGTCAGCCATGAAAGGAGTATGGAACAAAGTGTGCCCCCAGTTCACCAATAGTTTTCAGGGCTCTACAGATGACAGTGTTGCTGAAGCCAGACAAGCTGTGGTTGACCTTGGCAATGCACTGCATTTGAACATCAGTGAAAAGGACGTTGTAGAGTTACTCAAGTCCCATTCGGAAGAATTGAGCGACGAAGACCTTATGGAGATAGAGGAACAACTGAAAGCTCATGAGGAAGAACAGGACATCGAATCTCCAGAACCAAAAAGGTTTGTGACAAAAGAGTTAGCCGAAGGCTTTCGTCTCGCCGAAGCAGCGATGGCAAAGTTTGAGGAGCAAGATCCTAACACGGAGAGGTTCACAAAGGTTTACCGTGCAGTGACCGAGGCCCTCAGCTGTTACAAGGCCATTTATGACAAGAAAAAGAAGATGGCCGTACAAACAACCCTTGATGCCTACTTCAAGAAAGCGACTTCAGTGGTGACCCCCCCTCTCTCCAGCAACCGAACCAACCCCTGACTCTCCAGCAGCAGAATCGCCCCCCCTCCAGCAGCTGAATCAAAGCCTGGCTCTGCAGCGGCGCAATCCAAGCCTGACGCTCCAGCACCAGTCCCATCTCCACCATCATCCAGTTAATGTTAGGCTTAATGTTACCTCAAGAAAGCCCCTTCCAGTATGCAGGACATCGATGGAATGAGAGTAAGTGTTACCCTTTAATAATCTTCTTACTTGTTTAAAATCTAAACTGTTTTAGGAACTATTTCTTTATATAGCTATATTTATATTACAGTTCTGTATACTTACACATGTACATACAGATCCTCTTTTCAGTACCTGTAGTTACTTTATTTTTACTGTTTTTATTATAATCATTACACTACTGTATTGTGTTTTAAGATGTTTTAGAGTATATGGAAGTGTTTAAGTGTTCTATTTGCATAGAAAGCTAAAATATATACATATACAGAGACAAACATTTGGCTTATTCATGCTAAATCTGGCCCGTACGTACGTGATCCGACTTACATACAGTTCGACTTAAAGACGTTCTCAGGAACGGAACTCGTTCGTAACCCAGGGACTGCCTGTATTTATAGACCACTAAGTATAATAAAATCCCTGAGTGCTTTATATATAAATATTAAAAATACATGTAAAATGTTATGGTTAAGGTCATATTAAAATACGATTTTAAAAAACAATAACACAATAAGGCAATGTCAGGAACAGGAAAATGGAGTAGAGATTAATTGTATGCTATGGAAGGCCTGAGGAACAAGTGAGTTTTCAGGAGCTTTGTTTCCATCTTTATCGTGTTGTTTCAAAGTCCTACAGTTCCCAGCATGCCCAGCCAGCCTAGGCCCCTTTTCTGGCCAAGCACACATGGGGCTGCAATCTGGTTGTGAATGTGAGTCTCCAGATGGAGAGGCTCATGGGATACTGCACTTCTTGCTGGGTATTTTATGGCCACCTGGGTTTAGTGCTGGGTAGGGGGAAGAAAGGAGGCCGGGACACCAGCAGGAACCAGCGTGACTCTGGTCCTTACCACCTTTCCTTCCTGCCCTGCAACAAGCCCCTTCTGTCTTCTTCTGAGGCCCCTTGTGGCTGGAGGGGCAGCTGGTGCAGTTCCTTCTATGCTGTCTACAACAGGATGGGGCAAGAGATCTCAGGATTTCAGAGCGGGAATTCCAGAGAATCCTGTGGCCACCCAGATGCTGTTGGGAGGCCATGGAATTGCACCCTAGGTTACTTTTTTCCTTAGATATCTCAGATCCAAGTCTGTGTGCTATATGGGAACATGGCTATAGCACGGCTTCTTTTTCTAGTTTTGTTTACTAAGTGCAAGCAAGATAAATATGCTAGATTTGATCACTTCTGGACATCAGATAATTTTCTAGTTCAGCCTTTTCTGAAAAACTGACAGCAATAAGGGCGTGATCCCATGGTCCTGGGAGAGCATTCCAGTGACCATAGGATTTTTCAGTGTCCTCTTTTGGAACCTGTGGCCTTAGGAGGCAGCTCTGTGCTTCAGTCCCTCCACCTCTGTCCCCTCCCAGCCACTGCTCTCTGAGGTTGCAAAGTGGTCTTGGATGACCTCACAGAGGTGGAAACAGGCATTTCACTGAGCAAGGAGGAGAGTGTGAGAGGAGAAGGCAAGGCCTGCTGAACCCTATGATTTGCCCGTTGCCTGTCTCACTGGTTTGGAGTGGGAGGGGATGAGGAAGAAGAGGCAAAATGGCCTCTGTCTTCCTTCTGTTCTTCCAGCAACAGCCCGGGGGGCATAGGATTTGTGGAAGACTTCAGATTTGGACACTTCCATATAATGGGCAGCAATCCCAGTGGATTGCACCCTAGATACCTTTTACTCTAAATTTTTGAATACTTTGATGCGTGCACTGGTGCCTACAATGTATTTGTTCTGTGCTGCCTTTGGCAGGGCAATTTAAGGCAGCATTTCTCTTGTGCAAACTCAGCTGTTTTGCTCCTAAATTTCCTTTTGTCACAGGAAGAGATCTGGATTCTCAGAGACTCCAAGTAAGCCCTGAGGCTCAGGATCCCCTAGACAACATGGGTATGTATTGCTTGTCCACCTCTTTTTCCCTTTTTCTGGCCCACAACATACCTGATGTTCACGGACAGCTTACTTGGAACCATCTTGGGTACAGAAGGCTTAACACTGCAGCCTATCCAACCGACTAAACATCTGGTCTGTGGTGCAGAATCAGTCTACAGAATTGTGCAATGTGGAATGAGGCTGATTTCCCCTTTCAGTTTCTGTGTTGAAAGCATGGGTGTGCTTTTATGTCTTGCGTATTTCTCTGGGTCGGAAACATGTCCTTTTTATTCCCCCGCCCCCCAGATCCTGCAGCTGCTAATCCAAAGGAAGCACTGCCTCCCGGAACCCGCCTTTCCATGATGCGGAGCAAGAAGAAGAGGGACAGGGCAGAGAGCATGTTCCAGGTCTTCATGCAACAGGCCAAAGAGGAGTCCAGGATGGAGCAGGAGGAGATGAGCCGTGACAGAGTGGTCTTGGAAAAGTTCCTGAAGGTCTTTGAGCAGGAAGCCGCGGAGAGCAGAGAGGAGAGAAGACAGTGTTTGGAGGCTATGCGTGCAAACTGCGACATTTTGCAGGGCATTGTCAGCAGTTTGAACAAGCTGACGGATGCCATCGTTTGCCAGCAGCAAACCGGCACCGGGAACCAATCCGCCACTCGGCACCCGCTGCACTCTGCCACTCACAAGGAGAATCTACCACACAATCCTGTCCCCATTGCAAGGGGGGTTTTGCAGCAAGAAGCGTTGCCCTCTCACCCTGCCAACTCAGCCAGCACCCCACCAAAAAGTGGCCCTCGCAGGCCTGCAGCTGTGACTCACACCCCACCGAGAGTGATGTGCAATCTTGGGTAACAGATGGCAAAGCATTCCCTTTAGACTCTCTGTTCCGAGAAGGTACTGGAATGTGATCTGGGCTGGGCTTGGAAGGGAACCACGACTGGATTTGCTTTCAAGGACGTGGGCATGGCATGACATTAGACTTCTTTGAGAGGAAGGAGACCACTGGGAAGGAAATGAAATGGAGCACTGCTCACGTGCCCTGTGAAGGAAGTCCCACTGTATGTAAGGTAGCTTTTCCCCTTTGCGTGCACTAAACTTGGGCCGATTTTAGCAGATCCCCTTCCCTTTCCTCCTCACCACTGCAGTGGCTTCTCCTGGCAGCTGTCAAAGCAACATGGAGAAGCAAGCTAATAAAAGCATTAACTTCCACTACGATGGCTGGAATCTACTCTCTGGTAACTGTGTATGGGAAGTTTCTTATTCTTCGTATCTCCCTTTCCCTCTCCGTCTATCACTCAACACCATCCAGTTTTGACAAACCCTGGAAGGTGACTGCAAGTTGTCCAGATATGGGGTAGCAAGTCAAAGAACCAGTGTTGGTCATGAGGGGGCAAGATGCTTCAAAGGACTGTGTTGCCCACTAAAAAACTGCTTTGACATGCTCGAAAGTAGAGCTGCAGCTGCAGGGCTGGAGCAACTTTCTGTCTCCTGCAGCCCTGTGGCGCGCCACAACATTTCTCCTGTGCCAAAAAAGACAGTGGTTTGCTGCCCATATTTAGCATCAAATGCTACAGAGTGGTAATTAAGTCAAATGTCGCTTGTCCTCCGGCTGCTCTGTAGTGTGATGAAGAGATGCGGAGGGATTACCATAAATATCGCTGGGATGATAAAGACACACTGACTTTTGGGTGGTGTGTTGCCCAGCCTGGCTCAGAGCATGCTGGAAATGCTGTCCCTGGTTACATCCCTGTTTTCAGGAAAAAAATTGGAAACTTAACTGAGCTTCCTTGTAGGCATTCTAAATACTGGGAGCTAAGTCAGCTTAGGCCTGGTTAGTGTTTGGATGAGAGACTTAAGTCCTGCATTGAGTAGGGGGTTAGGCCTGCCGCTAGGCTCCTTCATACTGCATGGTTTAATTCTAACCTATAGTTCATCTGCTGGGGACTTTTAAAAGAAGAAAAGAACCAGGTGGTCTCATAGAAAACTTCCCTGGAAGTTGTGTTTTTATGAACGGAGGGGAAATTTAACATCTTTTGCTGCATGCTCCTAGTGTTGTAATGGCTTCGCTAGCACAAATGGCATCCTGCTACCACAATGGTTACACTCCGTCTGCACAAATGACGAATGCTGTAATGCATATGACTGAGCCGACCCTAATTTTATTTGCAAAAAAAATGCACTATGTGTACACATGCAAGCCTCAGCTCTTGGGCAGTCTAGAAATGAAATAAATAACATGAAGGTGCTGTGTCTGCTTTTATGGTCCGAGGCCCAAACTAAGGACTGATTCTTCCTGGAAAAAATCCTTCGTATTTTACTTCTGTAACGCCCAATAGCTGAAGCTTCCTGGACAGTGCACAAATTGCATTGTGCATGGCTTTGTTTCCCTCTCACCCAGCTATCATAAGGGCGGTTAATCCGTGCAGTTGCCCCCATGGCCATGATATTCTCTGCCATTGCTGGCCTAGCTGCAAGGAATGCCAGTCCTGCCCCAAAACTGGGGGCATCTTGGTCTATATTTCTCGAAGATCATCTGCTTGAGGTGTTCCCTGCCTCCGCCCCCAATGAGGTTCATGAGCCATCATGTATGGTAGGCACCTTCCGGTGGTATTGGTGGAACCCACATTTGGTGCATGGTCACTGTTGGGTTCTGAGGAAGCAAAAAGACCCACACACAGAGTCCGGGACAGTCCGGCATTGCAGAATGCAGAGGGATCGTGGTGTCTCCACCCTACTTTGATGTCAGTGCATTCTTGCAAGCCTCTGGGTAGATGCATCCCATCAGCAACACCAGTGCAGTGAAGGAATTGTGTTTCCTGCACCACCAGTGAGCTGTGGCAGAGAAGCTCAAGTTAGCACAGGATTGTATCCAGCATTAGCCTAACAAGCTCCAAGGATTTCAGTGAGTCTACTCTATGTAGGAGTTAATGTTCACCATAGGAAATGTAATGGTTGTGCTAGTTCTGATGTTACCAGGCGTGTATCCACCAGGTTCAAAGGCAGCTGCCTTATTAATAGGTACCAGGCTTGGGATAAACGCTCTTGGAAACCATCTCTCCAGAATCTGCAGATCTTCTCTCACGCTTGGCCTGGTCCTACAGAGTGAGCTGAGCTAAGAGGAAGGTCAGGAACACTCGGACAGTGTTGCAGAACTTGGAACCTCCACCAGCTGCCATTCTTGCTGGCCAGCCTTCTTCCCCACTTGCTGCTGGCGGGGGCTTGATTCCTAGTGAGCACCCCAGGAAGCCTGAGCACCCTCCCCAGGAACTTGGATCCAGGCCATTGCAAGGCAGACCAGATCCTGGGAAGCTAAAACCTACCAGTAAGCACACGAGGAGAGGCTTTGTTAACTTGCCTGTCAGAAACCAATCAGAAATTGATGTAGACTGGAATAACATATTGCATAACTGTACAAATACTGTTACTTGCTCATCCCCAAGCGGCCCCTGGATGAAATTCTGATCACCACAGTTCCATAGCGGATGAGTGATATTCTGAAATTTCACTATTTTATATTAAAATTGAGTTTTGAAACCTACCTTTTGAGATTGCCTGACTGGATTGTCCAGTGACCAAGTTGCAAGTGAATGGCAGAGTACACCTCTTGGATTATCTCTCCCACAGGACTTCCTGTCTCCAAAATGGGCAACTGTTCAATCACAACATAGAATGGAAAGCTGCAGCCCATCTAGTGCAACACATTCCTCTGCCGTGATGGCTCTGCTCACCTGGAAATGCATGATCCCAGCATTCATTGCTCTGAATTTTGAGCACAAACTGCTTCTGCTTGCAACCACGAGTGGGGTAGATCTGACGCTGCCCTGGTACTCAGATCAGTGAATATCTTGCACTAAAAAAATAATGTGAGATCTCTGGATAAGTGGGAGGGGCCTTCAGATCATTGTCGGGCTCCAAGGTGTTCTGCTCCGGTGCATGTGTAGTCCAAGCGCCTGACAGATGAAGGAAGCCGCTGTCAGTACTAGCTGCGCTAGAAATTGAACTGACTGCATTTTGCTTTCCTTATTCCATCCTTCCTCCCCCTTTTCCTCCTCTTGCTGAATTTTAGACCACACGCTTCTGTCAAGTGCCATGCGCACTGGTGGCGGAGTATCTATTGATACTTCAACATGGTGAATCAGGTGTAGAGCCTGCAAGCTCCTTTGCATCTGTAGGGTCATGCCTCACGGCCCTCTCATTTCTCTCTGCCCTGGGCCTGTTTGGGCCTCCTCACCTGAGCAGGCAGCAACAGGTACACTGCACAGGAGCCACAAATGGTCTGCCTAGGAGAAAATGTGAGGGGGAGGAGGGAAAACGGGAGGATATGGAAAACCACAAGGTGGTGAGGATAGCTATAAAATGGAGAGGCCTGATGTCCTGCAACAGCAGGGGCTCGACCTAATGGCCTTCATGGCCCCTTCCACCTCTACTATCATTCTAAGGAAGGTGGGTGATGTAGAAGGGAGGGGGAAGATAATGGTCTGAATGTGAGAAACTGGGCCCAAACCTGTTTTGTGTCCTTTGTATCTTTTACAGCAATGCACACACTCCCACAAGATTGGGGGATGTTCTCAATATTTTGTGATCTGCATGTTACACCTTGTCACAGTCACTGCCCAACAGTGATTAACTGGGCAGACTCAATTCTTAGGGTTGTACCCATTTGGTGCTTTTCCTAAAAAGACTTATTTTGCATTTCTACAAATGCTGGGGTTTCTCCAAGTGCGCTCACACCACCTTATTCCATAGTGGCCCCGTTTGGCCCCATTTCTCTTGGCTTTCAGCTCCTGAGTTCACTATTAGAGAACTTTATATACGGCATGCAGGCCTGACACGGTAGCCCTCTTCTGGAGACATGTGGGGACCACAATTTTTGGGGTGTTCCAAATGTTTGATGCAATGAATTAGAAGGAACCTGATACTGTAAATATTGTCATTATATAATTGAGTTGCTGGGTGGCACTGGCCTTTAGTATTTTTTCTGGATTTATCTCTTGCTGTTTCTATTAGACACAAAGTTCTTGCCCACTTTCCTAGTGTGTCTTCCGAACCCAGTCATCACCTGCCTGACCTCAAATGGTGGTAGTCTTGGATATGGAAGCTAGAGATGGGGCAAGTTTGTGGTAGAAGGCAGTCATGGATTCATATAGTTGGAGAGGGCTTAGCAGGCCTTCAGGTCCTACCACCTGTTCAATGCAGGACTCAAGTCACCCATCCAGATTTCAACCCAGCCTGACCCTGCTTAGCTTCCAAGATTAGGTAGGTCAGGCACCTTGGGCTATACAGAAGCTGCCTGAAACAATACTTCATGTTCTTCTTCATGATCTCTGTGCATCACACCTGTGGACTTTGTGCCTGCACAGAGCCTGTTGTTGGGAAGCTAGCCTGAGGCCCAGGTAACCAAATGAGTTGGAGCAAAATCCTATATAGCTCTAGGTAGGTTGGACCCACAGCTGCACAGCCAGCCTGATTGGAGAGTTGACAGCAAGGCAGGATGTGGCTGAATGTATGCTAATAGTTAATTGTCCCTGGGGGAAAAGAGAGGCTCTATTTGGGGGAGAGCACAATCGTGAATGGTTCCTGGACTTTCAAAAATTGGGATTACTCTATTTCTGAGCTTTGGGATGTGAGTTTGTTTTTTTAAACTCTAAAACCCTGACCCTACATGGGGCCCAAACTGAAGCTACACTTCACTTTATAAGCAATCCCTTCCACTAGCTAAGCCTGCAATGTAGCTCTTTTCCTTCCCCTTTCTAAGTGGGGTTAATTTTTATAGGGACTAGTGAGCAAGGCTGTAGGTTCCTGTTGGGTTTTCCCTAGAATTTAGCACCCAAGTAAAAAGTTGCAAGGGGTTACCCTTCTGGGATTTTGCCAACTTGCTGTATCCTTGTCTCAGCTTCAAGTAGTAATCTATAAGGAGAACAGTAAATAGCACTTATCTTCTGCTCACCCAATGGTTTAACCCGTTTGTTGGCTGAAGCTTTGTCACTAGGGTTTAGATGTTTCATATCTGGGGCTCCTCACACTCCATCATTTCATGATGTAATTTCAATCACATCTCCTCACTTCATTATGACTGGTGCTTTGGACCTTTTGTGACCTATTAAGGACTCTAGAACACTTAAAATGTGAAACACAGAGCAAGATAATGAGGGCCAAGACAAGGATTGTCATTTATGCCGCTGTGATTTCCCAGGGCAAATTTGGGTGGGTGTTTTCAAAAGCAACAGAAAAACAGCTGCCTGTCAAAACAATTGCAGACTGGTTTCACACTGGGAACACAAGGCCCCTGCCCTTTAAGAATCAGTTTCTTAATTTTAAATGATTATTTGCATACAGACACAGATGTGGGTTTAGTCAAAGTCTCCCACAGGTTTTGTTGAGGTGAATTTCCTGAGGGTATATCTAATGCAACAGACTTATAATAATAGTGATTACAATTATTTTTAGTGCCTTAGAAACAAGGGCGGTAATCTAATGGATGTTGACTTAACAGCCATGGCTTTCCCCAAAGACTGCTGGGATTGCCTCAGGCAATGGTGCTGAAATAGTTATAAAAGGAGCCTTGCCAGTAGGCCCAAGTCCTCTCTAGCCCAGTGCTCTGACCCCTCTGTGGTCATCCAGAGGCCTCCAGGAGCCCTGCAAGGGGTAGGAGTCCAACAGTACCCTCCCACTCATGCTCACCAGGGGGCGCTGTTCTGCTGAGACCTGCCGCTTGTGCTTTGCTGATTGATTGATTGATTGATATCCTGCCTTTTTCCTACAAAGGGCTCAAGGCAGCTTACATCTCCTCCTCTATCTTATCCCCACAACAACCCTGTGAGGTAGATTGGGCTGAGAGTCTGTGACTGGCCCAGAGCCACCCAGTTGGCTCCATGGCCAAGCGGGGACTAGAACCCAGATCGTCTGAGTCCCAGTCCCACGCTCTTAACCACTACACCACACTGGCTCTCAGAGCAGAGAACTGTAGAGCCAAGTTGAAAGGGGCCTCCAAGGTCATCCAATCCAACCCCTCCTCAGTGTATGACTCCTGAACAGTTAACCCCTTGATAGCTTTATCATCCATGAATTTTGGAACAATGGGTAGGTTGGCACCAGCCAAGCCCAGTAAGTGGACGGATGGGCGGCTCCGTGCCCCCCCTTCCCTCCTTTTAAAAACTTTAAAAATGATTTTTATAATGAAAAAGAAAAAAGAGGAGAAAAAGATACCAAGGGACCTTACACAAGTATTACATATTGCACCAAATTAGGGAAGTTTCACCAAAAGTCAATAGCTATTATTACTTCTGCAAAATTTATAACTACAATTTTAACTTAATAATTAAAATGATACTTCGTTCAATAGTACTTAATGAAAACGAATAATTATTACAGAGAAAAATGTTTGGACGTGGGTATCAGAAATAATAATTCACCTTACATCCGCAAACCCATCAACGAATACGAATTAATGTTTCCCTTTTTCCTTCGAATAAATATCATAAGAAAATATTTACATGAAAAAGCAGTTATTCCAATTCAGAATACTTAATGCTCAGGAATTTTCCATTCTTTTAAACGCCCTCCTCCCGGGCGTCCCGGGGCAGTGCGCGGGAGCGAATCTTTCCCTCCTCCCCGCTGCCCAGCGAGCCCAAAGGGGCCCGGACCACGGCGGGGGCCGGGCGGAGGGGCCGCTCGCCTCCTGCTCGCCTGCTCTCGAGGCAACGGGCTGAGCGGGCGCCGCTGCAGTGGCGGCCGAGCCGCAGCCGCTCCGCTTCCCCAGGGAAGGCAAGCGAAGCGAAGCAAGCGGCGCCCGCCAGCCCACCTCGCCCGCCGCCCTGCAGCAGTGCCGGGGGCGGCGCACCGTCCCCCCAGGCGGCGCAACAGCCTCGGGAGCGAGGTGGCCGGTGGGTCGGCGCCTCCTGCCCGCCGCCTCTTTCCAGGGCGACGGGGCGTGAGAGTCTCCTTCGCCGGCTGCAGCATTCCAGTATTCGCGGCCAGAGTGCCAAAACTAAGAGATTAATTTGAGCTGGAAAGCCTAAGGCGAATCATTTCAGCCTTTCCGGCGGCGCGGAGCGGAATCGCAGAAGCCAAGAAGACCGCAAAGGACGGCTGGTGCGGGGGCGTGGGTGCGGTTAAAACCGGGGGGTGTCCCACTCCAGAGCGACACACGCAGGGTTTTTTTTTTTTTTTATCATAAACATGCCAAAGCGCAGAGTGATATGCCTCTGCTTTATACAAAAGCAAGGCCAGTGGTAGCCTTCAGTTTTTACCTATACCATTGTCATTCTATTCTTTCTCTATCTAGATGTCTAAAGGTGTTTTTCCTTCTATTATACACACTTTAAGTTATATGAACATACGGGTAAAGTTTCCCGCAGTGGAGATGAGGGCTTTTGCTGCTGAGTTTCCCCCTCACTGGTATTCAGAGCCTGAAGGAGGCACGTTTTAAGAGATGTTATGTATGTATTACTTTTAGAAGTTGGGTTGAATTACGGTAGCGATGGGTGGTATGACGCTCGCTCAAAAGATGGCGTTAATCAAATAAATGCTAGCGTTACTATGCTACAGTTTTTAACACAGTTTTTTCCTTTCATAAAATGTGTTTTTTAGCACCCTCTGTAGTTGCTGGACCGACGACAATAATCGCTAAAATCCAGTAGCCGCTGCCCAGAAACTAGTGCCACGATCCTATTACCATTTACCTAGAAGCAAGCCCCCTATTGAACTCAGTGAGACTTAATTCTGACCAGAGATTATTAGGATTGCGCTGTGAATCACTGACGGGGTCACGCGCAAAAGTATTGCCCAGGTATTTGTCCGTCGTGCCCCCCCCCTTTTTGATTGGCTGGGAATGGGACAAAATATTTCCCACGTATAAAGCGAAACGCATAAAAGGCATCGGAGAGCAAAGTTGGTTGGATGAATGGTGAGACTCTCATCTTCATTGGTCAGTCCTTCTACTTTGAGGTTGACTGAGGATTCCTGATTGGCTGGAAGCAGCAGTGCCTCTTTCTTGCTGCGACTTAAAGGGCAGACGGGACGAGCCGGTGTGGTGTGTGTAGGCGTTGTCTCCCTAAAAACAAGATGGAAACGGTAAGTAGTCTTAGGGCGCTGGCACGCCTTGGCATATTTAAGGTGCTTCTGGTGCTGTTCTCTGTGTTGCTCATATAGTGATTAGGTGAGATGATTAATTTTAGCTTTTTTCTAGAGGGACTGGAAGGTTGGATAATCCTGACCCAATAAAATGCAATGGTTTTATTTTGAACAGGTGGGAGGGAAAGATGCAGCTTTTGGGGGGTTAATGTAAGGCTTTGTCATAGAACACTGAAGTGTTGCTGTAATGCAACTTTCCCCAAACTAGTGCCCTCCAAATGTTTTGGACTTAATTTCCCTTCAGCTCCATCTAATTAGCTAACAGTCATGAATGTGGGAGGTGCAGTCAAATTCTGTAAGCTAGAAGCAGCTGCCCTGCTGAAATCCCTGCAGTTAGTAACTTTAGACTTCTGTTGCACAAAAAGAGAAAGGCGGGAAATGCTATTGTCTTACAAACACAATGCAAGTGGCTAACGCTGCCCCCAGTGAACGTATTCCTTGGTCAGTTGTATGTACTTCTTTTGAGCCCAGAAGGCATAGCTGGCCCTCCCACCAGGTAGCGTGAGATACTCATTCAGCTGCTTGAGTTTTCTCTCATTAAAGAGAAACAAGCTTTAATAGTATAGTGATCATCTTACTGCCACGGCGGAGGAGTTACTACTTGTTGTGTGCAGAGGGGGAGGTTTGCTTTGGTTGCCAAAATAACTAAATTGTCTTGGGTATTGTGCGTGCTGACATGGGTGCCTCGTTCACCCCAAGTAGGAAAAGGTGCTTGAGCAGGCCCTGCCCAAAAGGGTCCCTCCTGAGAGGGGGACACTGGGAAGGCGGTTCCCCCTTCAGTGAGGCTTGCTGCAGACCTGAGCTGATAGCCTGGGTGTGGGGCTTCAATCCCCACCAGGCTCCCTGCACCTCCGGATTTAATGTTATTGCTTAAGACTCTCTTTTTTCCAACTGTGAGGCTAGTGTGCTGCAACGCGAAGGGCTGTTCTCCAACACTTGGTTTGGGTTCAAAGGTGTGCTTTGCAGCTTGGCCCCCATTTCTGCCTGGGGCTAAATGCTTTTTATCTTAGTCTCATCATTTTTGCCTTCTGGGACACTCTTTTGTGAGTAGCCACATGCACTGTGACAGCCATTTTATGAAAGGGAATCATAAAATCATTTATGAAACAGGCCCATGACGCTGTCTCAAAATGCCCAATGCATTGATTCACCCAACATTTGGGAATCTTGAACTGGGCATTTCTCCTGGCGGGGGTGGTCCAGGGCTACTGCAGTGACTTAGATAATAGGTAGATACTTTGAGTTCCCGGGAGACCTTCATGTTGTGCCCGGTGCGGAGGGGATTCCGGCATGCCGTGCGGGAACGGCAAGGCTGGGGATGGTTAATGTTCTCTGGTATGCATTAGTAAGGGACTAAGCAGGAAGGTAACCCATCCTCTAATTTGGCCTTGATTGTGTGTCACTCCAGACTGTAACCCATAACAATGGTTCCAAAGACCAACTTGACACAGGAATTTCTGAGAGATTCCTTAGAACTCTTGTGAAAGAGATCCTACTGGTGAAACTCAAACAAAACTGTCTTACTCTTCCTTTACTCATTAACTACTTAGAGATAGTCTGCACCTGGCATATTACAAAATCATTTCCAGATAAGAGTGGAATCTCATGGAGCCAAGTTTTTCTTTCTACAAATATTTATGGTTTGGTTCCATGCCACCTCCTCTGCCTTCGAATTTTAATTTCAAGTACAGTACTTCTTAACCTTCTATCTTGTATGAACCACAATGCCTTGTTCCCTGTTGAATTCATACAACTGCTAGAAATAATTAACTCTCTGCTGTACACACTTTTTTAAAATTTTTGCATTACACTTTAACCCAGCATGTGGCAAATTCAAATGGAAATGAGGAGTAATAGCTGTGTAAAGCTTCTTTCTTTTTACTTATATGGTTGGGTGCCTAGTCGTCTTCTCTCCCCCTTTCTCCCCTACCTTTCCAAATTAGGATTCCCACCTTTGTAAGAAGGGGAAAGGACTAGCTCAGAGGTGCAGAATCTTCTGTGTGTCCTACTTCAGGTCTTTCTATCTACATTTCTGTGTGCCCCACTAGAAACAGGGAATTCCTCTGTGGACACCTCGCTGTTGGAAGTGTTTCCGCATCCCATGGGACCTCCTTTCAGAAACTGCACACCTTCTAATGCCTGTTTGCTTCCCTTTCCTTTAGCGAGTGGTTTTCCCCCACTTGTCCATCAGGGCTGGCGAATGCATCAAAGTGAAGGGGAAAGTGGCATCGGATGCCAGGAGGTTCGTATTGTGCAGATTGTGCATCTGGACATGTGTACACATTGAGCAAAAATGCATGTTAACAACCGCAGTGCCCTGCACTTCAGTTCTGTACCCCATGATTTAAAAAAAATATATAAATGTATATGCTGCTTTCCAGAAAAGTATCAGAATGGTGGACATATAATACAATGGCATGAAAACAAAAATAATTAGGGAATTAGAAGCAACATAGTACAGTTAATGGCAATAAAATCGCACACCCTACAGGGTGCTCTGACTCACTGCTGCCTGGGCCACGCTTCAGGAAGACCCTAAGTAAATAGATGAGCATTAAGAAGTCATCTGAAGATTGGGCCTTCAGCGTTTGAAGAAGTCTGCACGCATCCAAAGAAAACTCTTTCCGATATTGAGAAAGCACTGATAGTTTTCTGTGCAGTTGCTTAATGTGAGTCCGGTGTCAGAGGTTAGTTAGTAAGACTGGGCACTTGGCAGCCCTCACAGTCTCCCAGCCCTGACCCTCCTCTCATTCAACTGGATAAATGGGGTCCAGAGGAAGAGAACAATCAGATGCCCTAATAAGGAAGTGTGGGGTGTCCCGTGGAAAAGTCCCACTGACAGCACCTACCTGGAGGGTCCCTGAAACTCTGGTGGCACTAACTCAAGCCCTGCTCCAGGGCCTGAAGAGCAGAGGCCTGTGAGGCCGTTAGCAGATGGTGATGCTTTCCTCAAATAGGCAAAACTTTTTGGATACTGACTTGAGCAGACCAAGCTGCTTTTCAAGAGGGAGAGAAGAGGATAATTGTTGTTGCCCGGCCCTAGCAACTGCACAGTGAGTGGAGAATGCTGATAAGGGGAACTGGCTAGCCAGGCTAATATTCTACTGCATTTTTGAGGGGGCTGAACAGAACTGTAATGGGGGAACCGCTCAGTGTTTGGCGCCACCATCTTGTATCAAGTTGGACCCTCAAATGTGCATTGCTCCTGCTATTTAATGTGTTGCTCTCTTTGTCAGTTTTGCCTTCAACCTGGGTCGGAACGATTCAGACCTGATCCTTCACTTCAACCCTCGCTTTGAGAGCCACGGAGACAGCAAGATCATTGTATGCAACTCCAGGACAGCGGGAGAGTGGGGTTCGGAGTTGCGGGACTCGGCGTTCCCCTTCCAGCAGGGGGAAGAGGCCAAGGTGCACCGGAGAGCCTTGTCCCAGCCATTGCCTGCAAGGAGGCAGGGCTGGTGCCAGGATTTTGGGCACTCGCGGGCACAGCATTCACGTGGGCTGGAGGAGCCTTGCACTGGGAGCAGAGGGATGTTTTCTTGGGCTGCTTCTGATCTTCTGGGGTTTTGCAGTGGGAGAAAGTGCCTGTCTACTAAGGCGGGTGCCAAGGGTGGGAATCATTGGGCACTTGCCAGTGCCCAAAACTCAAAAGAGGCACTCTGGTGCCTCCTGGAGTCCCTTAGCCCTGTGTGCTCTTGGCACTGTCACTTGCTCACCCACTCCGGCTGTCTCTCCCAGAGGGAGGGAAGCAGCAAGCAACATGTGCAAGCCGGAAGGAATAATTGTTGCCCCTGCCTGATTTTTTTGTCACTCTGAGCTGTGACAATGGTTGTCCAGAGGCAAGTGATCAATTGCAAGGCAAATGATAGTCCTGTCACTGGGCTGGTTCCCACATCCAACAGCATAACATGGGTTATTTAAGCCACTATGGGCTGCACCGCATGCCGGTCTGTGCTGGTGACTGCTTTAGATATCCACACTGAAGCTTGTCATGGTGCCCAAACCCAGGCGGTGAAAGGCACATGAGGGTTAAGGAAGCCCTGCATAAGTCATGGTCTGTTCTCGGGTTGTGTGAGGGTGGTTTAATTTTTGCACAGTCCCTGCTGCAGGGGCTTGAATATCGCAAGACGCAGCCACGGTTGAACGTTCAGAATGGCTGTGGGCACCCACCGCAGCTCCAGCCTTGCTGCGCTCATGCTGGGATACGGAGATTGTGTGAAGCAGGTCAGAGGGGACATCTCGGTCCCTTCCCTCTCCTCTGCTGACCACAGCAGCCTCTGGAGCTTGGGGGAAGGACTTGAGGGCTTCCGAGTGGCTCTGAAATGGCCTTGAGGGACCCCCTGACTTCTCTAGGTGAGGGTGGGGAGCATCTCCTTGCTTCCTTGCCCCCCCCCCATAAGCACTGAGCCTTGGCTGGTGGGGAGATCTGGAAAGGTCCAAAGGCATAGCCCACTGCAAAATATATTTGGGGCTAAGCGAGAAAAATGTCAAGAGGACTTGTGATGACTACTTTAAAAAAATGAATATAGGAGCCTAAGCAAAGGCGACTTTTTGTAGAGATGTTTGTTATATAGGCCCGCCCAGCCATTACAATCATAGCCATATTTCTGCAGACAGATTAAGATGGCATGAGAGGGCCATCTCTCTGCACCTTTGCTGCAAAGGTTTCACGGGTGCAGGAAGCACCTGCTGCTGCGATGCATCTTGGCAACTTTCAGGCCCGATATGGGCCAGTTAACCTGTAATGCCTCGTCTTCCCCTCCCAGATGTGAAGAGCATTGCTGGCATGGCTAGCGGTCCCTCATTATGCACAGTAGGGGCTCCTGGCACCCCTTGGCTTGGATGTGGGAATGAGCAGGGGCCTAAAGACATGTCTGGCTGAGCCTCTGCAGCTCACCCTGGAGTCGGGCAGGGGCCAAAGGAGCCCTTCCCTCAGGTTCTGGTTTGCCTGGAAGAACAGCAATGCAATATAAATGCTGCACCTCTTTAAAATCAAGTTTCCAGTTATGGTAACACAAAACCATTAGAATTAGTGTGGCTTCCCCCATGGCATCCTGGGGATTGATACTGGAGGCAGCTGAGAATGGCTGGAGGCCTGCAATTTTAAGTAATTAAATTTGTATAAAGGCCTCCTACTAGTATAATGCAGTCTGGGCAGCCTTTACAATAACAATTATTGTAAAATAAAATATAGAAAATTTAATTTCTATACTGGACATCAGCCAAAGCTTTCTGGGCATTTCATAGCATTTTTTTTAAATTGCCTATTAAAGCATAAAAGTTGACTGTAAAAAATTAAATGAAAACCAGAAAGGCAAACTGCCTGTCCTGGGACACCCCATCCCCATTTTCTGGGGATGACCTGTAGCACCCAGAGTAGAATAATGTCCTCCAATGTGGACCAAAGGAGCTGGCATGGAGAGACATCTCTGCTCTCCTGAGGCTGATTGTGTGTGTGGGGCCATGAGATGCAAGGGGGGCGCTGGTCCCGGCCCCCTTGCCTGCTGAGTACCTGTGTCTGGCCCATCTCTGCTATGGAAAGAGCTGCTTCCCAGATACAGCAGTGGCTTAACTCCTTGGTCTTCACTTGCCAGATCTGCGTCTCCTTCAATGGCGAGGAAGTGACGGTGAACATGAATGGGAACCAGGAGGTCAAGTTCCCCAATCGGCTTGGGCTGGCGTCCGCAGAATACTTCTCGGTGGAGGGAGACTTCAATATCAAATCTGTCAAGATTGACTGAACTGCACCCATGCCTTCTGCGTGCATCTCTTCTGGAAAACTTGGAAATAAATGTTACTTGACCTCTATCGTACGGCCCTTGTTTCTTTTTGACAGAAAAGCCAGATCTGATTAAGTTTTACTATCTTCTTCTGCTCAGGATTCCACTGCTCCCTGATAATAAACAGTGGAAAGAGGGCTGGCCCCCATATAACCATCCAGAGAGTGGCAAGTGATCTGGATGGCATTATTCCTTTAAACATAAAACATTAAGGATCCCTTAAAGATCTTATTCCTGTAGTCACAAGGAATAAATGAGTTTAAAGGCAAAACTGAACAGGCACAGAGGATGAAAAAAGTTTTTAACCCAATTTTGTTCGAGCCTATCGGGAATTTTGAAGCAGTTGTAAAGCACAGAATGGTAGTTATGGGGTGCAGAAGTGTCAGTTGTGGGGTTCAGATCTGAAGTAATACCTATGGCTGTCTCTGTGGGTCCCACAGAACCATTAAGGGGTGCGGTGCTATCCAGACAAGTCCTACAAGTCCCAACATGCTCCCAACCAGCATATAGGGCTTTTTGTCCATATGTTCACAGGATTTCACCTTTACTAGTCCAGAAGGGTTCCCATCATTTAAATGCATTCTATCCATTGTAGGCAAAAATTTGCCTGCAACAGCTGAACGATGGTTAAACTACGCGTAACACCAAAAACTTCGCTTGCAAGTTGTATTTCGTTTTAAGTTGAAATAGCCATGGGGTTATGGGTGGTGAACTGCCCTCCTTAAAGCAATACATGAAAACTTCTGGGGTTGGATTCTGCCTTACACAGACACATAGAAACAGAGCAAGTCAGAAGGGGCTTCCTGGGCCATCTAGTCTGACCCCCAGCTCCAGCCAGCTCTGCTCACAACATGCCCACCATGTGCATGTCCAGCCTATTTAAGCCCATTGCTTCTGATGGGCTTACTGTACCTATAACAGAGTTGGATCTAGGCCCTACACTGGGCCTCTTTTTGCTGGCAACACTAGAAAGAATTCAAGTAGAAAATGAGAAGATAGGGGAAAGAAGATCAGTGAATCAAAGCAAGCCACTCTCAGTGTTTCAGTTTCATTTAGAAACGGCTACTTCGTGTAATGCTGGCAGTAGGCTGTTAATGGGTCAGAAAAGGGGATTAACCAGCAATGGGAGTCACCTGCCTGGTTAAGTCCACCTGCTGCTGGATCCGCAGAAACCTCTGCTTCTTAGCAAGGGATGCCGTCTTTGATGAGATGGACCTGTGGCCCAAAAGACAGAATGAGCGACCAAGATTCACAGAAGCAGCTAGGCAGTATCATTGCTTTTCCTCCTAAGGGAAATAGGTGGGCGAGTTCAGCAAAGTTCCCTCAAGACTACAGTTCCCAGAAGTCTCCGTGTTCTCTATTATGTGCCTTATTTCAGCAGCGCCGAACAGCCAGTGGCTGCCTGCTTTTGGCAGCAAGGACAGCACCCCAGTGACGGAAAGAAGCAAGTTTACATTTAACTTTCGGTTTCCATTTGAACGCTGCGGATTGCGGGGCAAGAGCACCGTGCTAAATGGGCAAAAGCATAGCTTTTATTAATGTGGGTTTAAAGTTTGTGTATTTTATATATGCATGGTGCCTACGTTTGATATTTTAATGAAGTTTGCATTAATTTTATGCAAGGCCATAAACACAATTTGGTGGTGATGATTCCATGTGGTAAGGAAATTACCTGCCGAGGTCTGGTAAGCTAGAGCATCTGGCCACACTTTTAATTATTTTCCATCACCTGGTAAAATGTGGCTTTTCCATTGGTTTTGGGCAACAGCTGGCTATTGGTTTGTGTACTTTCTTGCTGCTCTGAGGGTTTGCTTTATTTAAAGCATTTTGGTTAGTAACCAATAATAAGTCCTACACAGAGTAGATCCACTGAAATGAAGCACATTACTCATGACTGATTTAAGTCTCAATCATTTCAATGATCTAGTCTATCTAGTAGCGGTGGATGGTGTTCTTTGTTACCCTGCTTTTCCGCAGAAAAGGATCTCAGAGAAGCTTAGATGTGATTAGTAACAAACACGGTGTTTCCTGTCTGCCAGCTTTCAATCGGAAAGACACAGCACAAAATGAAAAAGGGACAAAGAGCAAACACAAGCACCAGTTCTTAGAATGATGCGATGCACACGTAATGCTAATCTAGGGTTTATTTAAGCCATTGTATGTTGCCCTGCCTATGGTCTTTCTGGCGGAGGATTAAAAAACTTTGGATTGTTTTCTAAATCCCCAGGTGGATGGTTGCTCTTTCTCCTCTGCATGTCCACTCCCTCCTGTATCCTAAATGTCTTTTTTTGTGAGTGCTGTAATATTACTGTGGATTGCTGCTGGATTTTCTACTATACTTGTCCCCACTCTGTAGTCTGGTGCAACAACCCATGACCAATCCTTGGTTCTGGATTTACTTGTAACGACAACCTATGGTTTAAATAAACCAAATTCAACAGCAAACCATGGGTTTCTGTTCCATAATCATTTGTGATTACAAAACATGGTTTGATAGCATAGCTGCATTTACACATAATACAGAATTCAGCAACCATGGGTTACTGTGACGCGCAAGCCAAGTTCTTATAATGTCTGGCTGGAATGGAAATAGTTCAAGGAGAGGGAGCCAGCTGGTGCAGGTTTCCCATCTCTCCCTCTGCTGTGACAAGAAAAATCAGAGAGTCCACTGGGGGTGTGCAGTCAGCAGAACATTTACAGTGTATTCGGACATATAGAGAATGCATGCAGCATGTAGGTAGCCCCTGAAGTGACTACAAAAACAGAGTCCATACGAGATGATTTTGCAGCTTATCAGTTACATAGTTTGGAGGCGGGAGGGAAATCACGTAGGCAGCTTGCTAGAAGCACGTGAGAGGAGCACAACAGGATGGCCATATGAGAGGGCAGCGGGGTTGGACCTGATGGCCTTCTGGTCCCTTCCAAGTCTACTGTTCTATGATTCAATAGGGTGGAAATTAAGACACACCACAAAAAGGAGAACCTTCATGAAAGCAGGCAAACAATTAGTATAGCTAAGAGGGTACCTGAGCAGGACAGGCAAACATTAGCATCTGTAAGGTGTATGTGGGAAGCAAGACTTGCAACATGGATTCTTGATCTGATCAGGAATCCCTTAAGTCTAAAGCTGTTCTTACAATGTAAGGTTTTCAGCAGCCATATTATGCCTGAGCTTTTGCTCATTTTCCTGACAGCTGCAGTCCTATATGCACTTTGTTTACTTAAAACATTTATCTACCATTCCTATTTAGTCAATGACTCTCAGCATGGTTTAAAATGTATTAAAAATGTAAAAACATAACCAACACTACCATACACATTTAAACAATCACAAGATAAAACCAATAAAATCACATGGAAACATAGAAACAGAGCGAGTCAGAAGGGGTCTCCTGGGCCATCTAGTCTGACCTCCGGCACCAGATGGCTCCGCTTATGACATGCCCACCATGTGCACGTCCAGCCTATCCTTGAACACCCGCACCGATGGGGCCTCAACGACCTCTCGTGGAAGCCCATTCCACACCCTCGGGGTCCTGACTGTCAGGAAGTGCTTCCTGGCATCCAAATTGAGCCTTGGTTCCCTGAGCTTTGCTCCGTTGGAGCGCCTCCTGCCTTCCTCTGCAGGGGAGAACAGGTCTCTACCCACCTCTGTGTGACACCCCCTCACATACCTGTATGCCACCAACAGATCCCCTCTGAGTCTCCTCTTCTCCAGGCTGAAGAGACCCATTCCCTCTGTCTCGCCTCGTACGGCATCCCCTGCAAACTGGTCACCAACCTTGTGGCCCTATGCTGCACTGACTCTAACCTGGCTATCACATTAATAAGGAGAATTATCACATTAATAAGGAAAAAGAAAATAGAAAAACAAAAGTATGATCTAATAGAAATAATTATAACATTAATGGAATCAAAGCAGATTAAACAAATAACCCTAGTGTCATATAAAATAAGTTGCAATATAATTTTTGAACAATTAAAATACTGTGAAAATAAAAAGGTTTTGGCTGGCACTGAAAGGTGCGTAGTGTTGGCACCAGGCACACCTCTCTGGGGAGATGGTTCTGCAACCAGGGTGACGCAGCTGAAAAGGTCCTGATGCCTTTGCAGTAAGGCCCACTGAACTCGAGTGGAGTCAAGTCCTGAGCCAGCATGGTTGGCGTTACATTGTAAGGCTCAAAAGGGATGCGTCTCGGATTATGTCGGCCCTTTACTCATCTGAACATTTCACAGAACAGGACTGCAGGTGGGAGTGACCAGAGAGATAGAGAGAATCCTTAAGTAAACAGCCCATGCAAACAGCCCTTGATAAAACTGTTTGCCTTCCTTGTGATCTGTGTAACTTTGGCTGGCAGATGATTTCAATTACTCCAGGTGAGAGGTTTCCTTTGCCACATTCTCCAAGCAGTGACCCTGAGCCCATTAGGGGTGTGCGTAGGTTTCCAGATCTTTGTGAGCTGACTTACATGCTGAAGATTAGTATCTTCTGTAGCAACACAGGAAGCTGCTGTAGGAAGTGAGACGGTTGGTGCATATAAACATCACTTTAATTGTTAACAATATTTGCTTATTTATCTGGCCAGGGTGACTTAATTTATATTTTTATTTATTTTATATTGTTAATTTTAATTTTATATTGTTATTTTTGTATTTTATTGTATTTTATTGTGTTTGTAAGCTGCCCCGAGGCTTCGGCAAGGGGCGGCATAGAAATGTTCTAATAATAATAATAATAATAATAATAATATAGGCTAGAACTGTCCGCACAGGCAGGCAGCAGCAGCAGCTCTTCAGGTTCTTTCCCAGCCCCCTTACCTGGAGGTGCCAGTTCAAACTTGGGGCTTTTTGCATGCCCAGCAGATGCTCCACCACCAAACGACAGCTTCTCCCCCTCTTTATGTCACAATACTTGGAAGCAATATAACATTTATAAATTAATTTTAGTTTATAGCTTCCAGGGAGCAATAAACCCCTTTGGTAGAGTCTTTTGGTTAAAATATCCAGGATGATTTACATCGGGTATGT